TAGGAAAGCGCATTGGGATAGCCAAAGATGCCTTTCAGAAGCTAAGCAGAGTATTAAGAGTCAGGAAAACTTCGTTTTCTAGAGGGTTACAGAGTAGGAAGCACATTTTATGCGGATAGGTGGGGAAGATAGCGGTTTACCCTAGACTTGAATTGGTAATGATTGTAAAGACCGGGAAAATATCCTCTTGGGAGCCGATTCCACAAAGTAGACCGCAGGAAGAAGGAAAGGGTACTGAACTGTTACGTGATATCTATCCCCCGATATGGCGGTGAACGCTGGGCAATACTCTTCAACTATCGAGAAGAGACTTGAAGCAACAGAAATGTGGTTCTACAGAAGGATACTGAGGATGCCATAGACCAAATAGGTGAACAAAAAGGAAGCTTATACTCAACATCAAGAAGAGACAGTTGAAATTTCTAGGGCACATAATGAGGAAAGAGGGCTTAGAAAATCTGATACCCACAGGACAGAGTAAATGCAAGAGAGACAAAGGAAAACCACACATAGTTATCTTGAGCAAAGGAATGGCAGAATAAGATTTAAGAGAAATAATAAAAAGATAAAAGCAATTTCCATTGTTCAGACTATTGTTTTTATCTTTATTGCCATATTCTCGACGTTTCGGCCGTTGTACACTCTGGCCTTCTTCAGGATCTGTCTATATTTCTGAAATGAGGTATTGTAACTATTTACACTGTTTAAATTGTTCGGACTGTTGTTTTCATCTTTCTTGCCATATTCACGGCGTTTCGGCCGTTGTATGCTCAGGTCTTCTTCAGGATCTGTCTATATTTCTGAGATGAGGTATTGTAAATATTTACACTATTCACATTGTTCGGACTGTTTTCCTCATCTTTATTGTCATATACTCGACGTTTCGGCTGTTGTACGCCCCCCCCCGGCCTTCTTCAGGTAATTGGAATTTCGAACCGAACCATGTATTTCGTCCACCGGGCTAGACTGTTCTAGTTCCACGTGCCATGCCTCTTTCGGATGTCTCCGTTATTTCCCTTTAACTCAACTCTCTATGTTTTTGTTCACCACTGCAGTAGCCGGGTATTGAACTCACACCTGAATTCACTAGATCCAACCAACGCTTTTATCAAGTGAGCCATATGGCCTAGTGGATAAAAGCGTTTGCTGGGTTCAGTGACTTCAGCCAAACAAGCGATCCCCGTAACACAGGCGATAACCAGAGATGGTATGTTGCAAAATGGTAAATTAAATGTTAGTCAATTGAAATGCATTTTAAAACATTTCTACTATACTCATTTCATACTTTATTTGGTGTTCGTTTATTGTTTTTGATAATTCGAAGGTTTTGCTTATTATTTTCTTGGCGTTGTATATTGGTATTGTCAACAAGTATTTTACTGTATTGTGAAGGTGGACCGGAATGTGTCTTTAAATGTTGGCACTCTATATCAAAAACAATCAACCAACACTGAAACAAATTCATATCTATCTATTTATCTATAAAATAAATAAATGAGCCAGATACTACTCACCTAGGTTTCACCATCTGCGATCATCAGGCTGTATGCCGAATATGGCTAGTTTAATTAATAAATGTAATAGGAAAAAATCATAACTGCTGTAAGGAAATGTCCCACACTCCCTATCGCCTATGTGGATTGACTATATCAGTGAGCACAGGATATACCTGGGGGCTTCCTTCGGGAATCAGTTGGAGATTCGGTCAGAGAGGAACCCAGACGAGGCTATGCCGAAGGGCAGAGTCTCGTCTGGGATGGTAGACAGCTACCCGACCCCGTATATACGGGGTCTACGGGGAATTTTTGCCCTAGCCTACGGGCTCTGTTTTGCCCCGCATTAAAAAAACGGCCTTGTGCCACATCCTGCCTTGCGGGGAGGTAAGGTAAATAACCTTCCTTCGGGAATTGGAGATTCTCCTCCAGCTGTGCTGGTCGAACTCTCTGCTTTCGGTCAGAGAGGAACCCAGACGAGGCTATGCCGAAGGGCAGAGTCCCGTCTGGGATGGTAGACAGCTACCCGATCCCGTATATACGGGTCTACGGGGAATTTTTGCACGAGCCTACGGGCTCGGTTTTGCCCCGCATTAAAAAAACGGCCTTGTGCCACATTTTGCCTTGCGTGGGGTGGGAGGTAAGGTAAATAACCTTTCTCGAGAATTACTAGTCTGCCACCCGATTCCCTATCTTTCAGTTGTGTATACTGTTTTGCAATAAACTTCTCTTCTTTCATCTACGCGCGTGTTGCTGTTCCTTCACTCGACTACCACCTTTGTCTTTTTGTAACCTCTTTAAGGATACAACAATAACCAAATTAGACTTTAACCCCGATAGATGTAACTGTAGGAATAAAGACACCTGCCCACTCAAAGGCAAGTGTCAACAAGAATATGTTGTCTATAAAGTTGAAATTAGTAGAAATAATTCAGTCACCAAAAACGAGAATGATAAAGTGTACATAGGATCTACTGAAGGCAATTTTAAAAAGCGCTACTATAATCATATAAGTAGCTTCAAGAATGGGTGTATAGGTATAACACTAATTTATCTAAATATGTTTGGAGTATTAAACAGGAAGATAGAAGGATCCCTTTCTAAAATGGGAAATACTAAAAAATGTTGTAAATATAAAGTTGCCGACAAGTACTGCATATTATATATGGAAGAGAAGTTAGCAATAACTACCTTCAATAAACCAAAAGTTTTTATTAAACCAGAGGTTTTATAAGGCCTGTTTATTAAAATAAAGGTTTTTTTTCAGTCACGTGTTTTATGTCATTTTAGGCTAATGCTAATTTTAGGTTTTAGCCGTAATTTTATCAATAATCTTTTATTCCTCCTTAGCCAGTTCACCCTGATGATCCTATGTGATGAAACCTAGGTAGGTAGTATCTGGCTCATTAGGATTTATTTATTTTCTTTTGCTCTATTTAGGATATTGAGCATTTTTTTTTTCTTTGTACCAGAAATTTAAGGTAGTAGACGGTTTCTTTCGCCCTGTTCAGAGGTTTCTGGTTCTTTCATTTTTTCCAAATTTTCTTTCCTCAGATGCTAATTTGTTTGAAAATTGTGCTACCCAGGTTTTTTCACCACCGAGTTTAAATAGATTTACAATATATATATATATATATATATATATATATATATTGCATAAACGGTTAATGGTCAGAGTTGAATCAGACCAGGAAACAGTAGTATTAAAAAGTTCCCCAATACACGTGTGAAAAATAAAGTAAAAGTAACGTGTAGAGCATTTAAGTATCTTTAAAACTAAAATTTTCTCGGACATACAGGCAGGTAAATGTCGTTAATACTGTTTATTATAAACAGAGCATTTACTTAAATATTTGTATATATATATATATATATATATATATATATATATATATATATATATATATATATCGTTAATTTTTAAAAAGTTAAAGAGACCAAGCACATGTATTCAATGTCTTAATATTGCCCAGCTTCAAATATATTCTTTACTATTCGGATCAACATTCTCATGTTGATTATTACACTCACATATATAATTGCATATGCATATGTATATCTACCACTAATATTATCTCTCTCTCTCTCTCTATATATATATATATATATATATATATATATATATATAGGTGTCCGTAAATTTCGTGTGCACTTTAAAAAAATTTTAACTTTATTTGTATGTGCGATAGAAATAATCTGTAAAAAGGATTAGAAAGAAGTAAATCTATATTTTTATAAGGTCTTATTGAAATTTTATTTAATTTTCCTCCATCATTAGCAATACAAAGGGTAATACGATTTTGCATTTCACGGAAAACAATTGCCAACTGATTTACAGTAATGCCTGAAATCACATTAGTTATTTTAGCTTTCAAAATCTTCTAATGAACTAGGTTTGGTTGCATACACAATTGTTTTCACATGTCCCAATAAAAAAAAAAACTAATGGAGGCCGATAAAATGGTCCACCCCTTCCGATCCATCTGTTAGGAAATTCCTGATTTAGAAACTCTGTAACACGCAGAGCAAAATGATAAGGAGCTCCATCTTGTTAAAACACTGCATTATAAATTTTTTAAAGTGCACATGAACTTTATGGACACCCTATATATATATATATATATATATATATATATATATATATATATATATATTCATGAATCATTCATACAAAAAACAAATATAAGGTTAATGATTTAAATTTGTCTCGCCATTTAAATCATTAACCTCTATATTTGTTTTTTTGTATGAATGATTCTTAATTTATAAATTATAATTGCACCTTTTAATTGAAATATATATATATATATATATATATATATATATATATATATATATATATTTATATATTTTAGAACAGACTGAAATAAAATGATATGAACAAGCTATGATAGATAGAGGGAGGAATACACCGATATATATATATATATGTGTGTGTGTGTGCATAAGTGTGTGTGTATGCAAATGAAATGTTAATCTTTATAACATCAACAAGATATAATACTCGCCAGCGGCGTCAAGTAGGTAAACCACTGCTGATGGTGGACTACATAGACACCATATTACCCCCACTTACAATAGTGTCCAACTTATTTATGAGGATTGGAACATACCCATTACTGTTCATATATATATATATATATATATATATGTACGTATCAGTTATATATATATATATATATATATATATATATATAGGTAACTATACTCTTTTCGAAAACCTTCGAATTTTTGATTTGCCAATAATCAAATCAATCTCGAGGCAAAAATGGTTTAAAAAAAAGAAAGAGCTGGAAACATGAAAGTCTGTCGAAAAAACCCGCACAGATACAGGTTTGAAGCCCAAAGAAAAAAACCCGATACGAGTAAATAACTAACTAACAAAAGAGCTCAATACAACCGTAGAGCAGACCTAGATAAACCCAGTGAGCCAGACAAACCTACCCAGGTTTCACCTAAGCGTTCCCTGACGATCGGAAACCTGGGTAGGTTTGTCTGGCTCACTAGGTTTATCTATCTATCTATCTATCTATCTATCTATCTATATATATATTAGAACAGACTGAATTGAAGAGGTATGAACACGTTATGATAGAGAGAGGAATACAATGATATATATATATATAAATATGTGTGTGTGTGTAAACAGATTGAAATAAAAACGTTAATATATAGATATGAACCTACTAAATATAGGGAGGAAAAGGTCGATCGATCGATAGATATATATACATACAATAATGGATCCGTTGATTTTACATGTATATAGATGTGAGAAGCAAAGGCCACAAGTCATTTGCCAGGAAGTTTTCGTACGTTACGTGCGATAAGCCAGAAAGAGTCTTGAGTACAAATCAATACATGCAACACCGAACAGAACTGGCAAATGTCAAGGGATTTTTATTCCACCCAGAAGAACGAGTATGGCATGAATAGTATATTGCATAATATATTATGCACATTACATAAATAGCATTGTGCGTATATATATATATATATATATATATATATATATATATATATATATATATATATATATATCAGGTCATCCCATAAGTTCTGTCCGAATTTTAATTTTTTGTTAAAATGAACGAAATTTAAAGAGTATTTTATAATGTCTAATGGAGCTGAACATTATTTTTATGTTTCGATGAATTTAAACTGATCAAATTTTATTTCAGAGAACAATAAAATTAAATTTTGCTTGATTAAAACCCTGCTAACATGGAAGTACCCAAGAATCATTTGAGGCATATAATAAATACTTTGAGTTCAAGAAAGGAAACTCAGCAGCCGAAGCAGCTAGAAATATTCACTCAGTTTATGGAGAGGAATGTGTGAATGAAAGAACTTGCAGAAGATGGTTTGCAAAATTCAGAGGTGGAGATTTCACCCTTGAAGATGAAGATCGAACCGGACGTCCAGTTGAGTTTGATGAAAAGCTTCTTCAAGCAGCCCTTGAAGAAAATCCTGCTTTATCAATTGAGGAATTGGCAATGGTTCTCACTTCAAACCATACAACTGTTTATCGTCATCTTCAACAACTTGAAAAGTTCCTAAACTTGGAAAATGGGTGCCTCATGAATTGTCTGAAAACAACCTCAAATCCCGAGTTGACATTTGCTCTTCTCTCCATTCTCGCCAACTTGTTTCACCTTTTTTGGATAGACTTGTGACTGGCGACGAAAAAATGGATCTTTTATCGAAATGTTATGCGTCGTAGACAGTGGCTTGGTAAAGGGGAAGGACCCCAGCCACAGTCGAAAAAGGAACTTCATGGTCAAAAGGTTCTTCTTTAAATCTGGTGGGATCGCCAAGGAATAATCCACTTTGAATTCTTACCACCTAATGCAACAATTAATGCTCAAATATACTGTCAGCAATTAGAGCGTTTGAACCAAGCTTTGAGGAAAAAAAAAGACCTGCTCTAATGAATCGAAAAGAGGTGATGTTTTATCAGGACAATGCGCGACCCCACACAGCAAAAATCACGTCACAAAAGATCAAAGAACTTGGTTGGGAGAAAATTCCTCATCCACCTTATTTTCCCGATCTTGCTCCTTCAGACTACCATTTCAATGGGTTATTCAAAAATGTATTGCTGGTAGTATTTTTTTTCAAATATGTATTGCTGGAAATATTTTTTATCAAAATTGTATTGCTGATAATATTTTTTTTCAAAAGTTTATTGCTAGTAATAATGTATTGCAGGTAATAATTTTTTTTACAAAAATATATTGCTGGTATTAAAACCTGTTTTTACACATTCATAACGTTTTGACTCTAGTTTGGGAGTTAACTATTTACCCATAGCTGGGACCCTAACAGGTGCTACCATCAACGGAAGAATTAAGAGGTGGTTCCACGCTCCTAAAATCCTCACCATCACAGGTCTCGCTGTTGGATGTTAGTTTATCGTCTTACCCAGGGCTCACATCACAAAACGTCAGTTTAAAACCAGTAACAAACTTTTACGAAACAATTTTGGTATGCTTTTAAATATTTACTATACAGGTGTGTGGTGGAAAATTTGTCCATATGAACGTGGGTGATGAAACAAAAAAGTTCGAGAACCCCTGTATTAAATTGTCCTCTTTGTTAATTTTATATCAATCGCTTTTAAATTATTAATCCGGACGCATCCTGTGTGGACAGTGGAAAATAGAAAACTTCAGCGGGTATTTTTTATTTTTCATAGTCTTCCTTTATCTGATTTATACCCAAAAAATGTTATTACGTCTCAAGAATTATTTGAAAGTTAATTACCAAAATAATTGTTATTTTCGATGATATTTATATCTTATCTCGGAATGTCATCCAGTTATTTCTAAATAGCCTCTTAATTTTTATTTTTTTATTTTTTTTATACAGGTTCTTTGCTTATCTACTTCGAATATTTTTTCGGGTAACATATGTTGAGATACCCTTTTTAATACTATATCGCCCATCAAAATTTCCAATCGACCACCATTTTCTGTTCAGTTACACATTGACTACCCAACAGTTGAAATCGCCCACCGGTGGTAGATATTGCCTAGATTTTGAAACTCTGCTTTAATCATTATGAATGAGTAATATATTTTGTGTAACAATTGTAATAATATATGACAACACAATTAAAAGGTTTATTCTAAAACTCGATATTATTTCCCGAAAATCTAATATATTGAATAAAGTTGTCAAAATTTCCAATCGAATGCCATTTTCTGTTCAGTTGCACAATGACTAGCCAACAGTTGAAATCGCCCACTGGTGGTCGATATCGCCCAGGTTGGAAAACTCTGCTTTAATCATTTACAATTTATTTAAATTTAGTAATTTATTTTTGTGCATCACTAGTAATAATATATGACCACACAATTAAAAGCTTTATTCTAAAATCGGATATTACATTCCGAACACCCTCATATATTGAATAGCGTGGTGAACGGCAATGAAATTGTTTTCACACAACGTCGAATATTCACAGGTAATTTTCAGGACAATAATAATTTTCCACGCATCGCTTTCTATTTCCCTGGAGCATTTATTAAATATTTGCATTTATGGCGAATCGGAACGAACAGCAAATAATAATCAATAAAGTATGACAGTCAATATTCCCCGACTTTCCACTTGGAAGTGTGATATGCATATAATATGTTTTCTGTTGCCATCTTTAAAACAAAGCATGTGGAGTTGATGGTGTCCCCGTAGTAGTCCTAAAGAAATGTACACCTCAACTGGATTCTATTCTATCTAAAGTCGAAAATAAATGCCTAACTGTTTCTTGATTGTTGGGATTCCTTTTCTGTAGAGCCGGTCTTCCTTCAGAGAAGCAGTAAGTTTTTCGCTTCACTAGTTCAACAGCTGAGAACACCTTGCGCCCTTTATTACCTTTGATCTTCAAAAATGTAAATGCAATGCCAATCGATATCTTCTGTCTTCTTAATTCTTCTTCTTTTATTGTCCTCTCTCCTTAATAGTAGTTTTTCTCATATGCTCTAACACTCAGTAACACCTTGCGTCCTAGTGGCTTTATTGCCTTTGATCTTCAAACATTTAAATGCAATGTCAATCATTATCTTCTGTCTTCTTAATTCTTCTTCTTTTATTGTCCTCTCTCCTTAATAGTAGTTTTTCTCATATTCTCTAACACTCAGTAACCCCTAGCGTCCTAGTGGCTTTATTGCCTTTAATCTTCAAACATTTAAATGCAATGTCAATCGTTATCTTCTGTCTTCTTAATTCTTCTTCTTTTATTGTCCTCTCTCCTTAATAGTAGTTTTTTCTCATATTCTCTAACACTCAGTAACCCCTTGCGTCCTAGTGGCTTTATTGCCTTTAATCTTCAAACATTTAAATGCAATGTCAATCATTATCTTCTGTCTTCTTAATTCTTCTTCTTTTATTGTCCTCTCTCCTTAATAGTAGTTTTTCTCATATGCTCTAACACTCAGTAACACCTTGCGTCCTAGTGGCTTTATTGCCTTTGATCTTCAAACATTTAAATGCAATGTCAATCATTATCTTCTGTCTTCTTAATTCTTCTTCTTTTATTGTCCTCTCTCCTTAATAGTAGTTTTTCTCATATTCTCTAACACTCAGTAACCCCTTGCGTCCTAGTGGCTTTATTGCCTTAGATCTTCAAACATTTAAGTTCAATGTCAATCATTATCTTCTGTCGTCTTGATTCTTCTTCTTTTATTGTCCTCTCTCCTTAATAGTAGTTTTTCTCACATTCTCTAACAGTCAGTAACCCCTTGCGTCCTAGTGGCTTTATTGCCTTAGATCTTCAAACATTTAAGTTCAATGTCAATCCTTATCTTCTGTCTTCTTAATTCTTCTTCATTTATTGTCCTCTCTCCTCAATCGTAGTTTTTCTCATATTCTTTAACACTCAGTAACCCCTTGCATCCTAGTGGCTTTATTGCCTTTGATCTTCAAACATTTAAATGCAATGTCAATCCTTATCTTCTGTCTTCTTAATTCTTCTTCTTTTATTGTCCTCTCTCCTCAATAGTAGTTTTTCTCATATTCTTTAACACTCAGTAACCCCTTGCGTCCTAGTGGCTGTATTGCCTTTGATCTTCAAACATTTAAATGCAATGTCAATCATTATCTTCTGTCTTCTTAATTCTTCTTCTTTTATTGTCCTCTCTCCTTAATAGTAGTTTTTCTCATATTCTCTAACACTCAGTAACCCCTAGCGTCCTAGTGGCTTTATTGCCTTTGATCTTGAAACATTTAAATGCAATGTCAATCATTATCTTCTGTCTTCTTAATTCTTCTTCTTTTATTGTCTTCTCTCCTTAATAGTAGTTTTTCTCATATTCTCGACGGGGGAGTCGATTATATATATATATATATATATATATATATATATATATATATATATATATATATATACAAGTGCAGGGTTGGTACAGATGGAATAAAATTCCGATAAACAAAAATACTATTCTTAAAAGAGTGCTCCATATTGAGTAGAGCAAATAATATTTATTCAAAATTATAACATATGCATTCATATATATATATGCTCCTGAAAAATCTATTTCGGTTGAGCTCCCTGGGGAAGGAAATGTAAGTTTTTAAACAGCGACTATTGTGTGGCTGATAATGCAAGACTCTTGGGTAAAGCGAATCGAGTTCTCTCAGTCACTGTGTGTTTATCTAAAAATAAATACGCTTAAAAATTCACTGTGCGTCGACGGCTAAAATCTCCGACTGACGCGAATTCAGCCGGGTTTCGATCCTAGCTAGAGGCAGCCGGACGTCTATCCACACTGATGAGCTGTGATACAGCGAAACAGTCTGTCTGTGGAATATAAAGAAATATAGTCTTAAGGTGTGCTATATTTATGGGATAAAGTGTTCAATATCAGAGATAGAGCGTGTGTAAATATAAAAGTGAACATTGAAGTCAGCACTCAGAGGTGACAGTCTGTTTCATGCTAGACGCAATCGTCAGGCGTGACGATTGCGTCTAGCATGAAAACAGCATGTCGCCTCTAAGTGCTGACTTCAATGTTCCCTTTATATATATATATATATATATATATATATATATATATATATATATATATTCAAATGTAAAAGATTGAAGAATAAGATTTCAGCGTTCAAACCATTAGATTAAAAAAAGAGCCCAGTACAAAAAGTAGAGCCGTAAATATTTATTTATTATGCAGTGTTACATTAGAACATGTACGTACCCATTAAAAGACTGTAGAGTTGCATCGTGATTCCCTCCTGATGAAATGTTAAAGAAGTTTTTTAACGTTGAAACAAGATATACAGTTTTTGTAGTGGGTATGTGCATGTTCTAATGCAACACTGCATAATATATCTATATCTCTCAATTTATCCACACACACACACACACACACACACACACACATATATATATATATATATATATATATAAGGTGAGACAAGATTTTGTCAACATTAGTATGAGAGAACGAGTCAAAATTATGTTAACACTAGTATGAGAGGAATCATTTATTCAGAGTTTACTGAACAGTCTCCACCTGTCCACCAGCATCATTGATGCGCAAAATCCAGCGATCAACAGTACAATTAAGTGCCTTGACACACATTTCACGGGGAATGTTTGATATTACACCTTTTATTCTATCCTTGAGTTCTTCAATGTCTCTAACACTTTTGCTATACACACGATCCTTTATCATACCCCATAACCAGAAGTCACTGGGTGTCAGATCTGGGGGAGTGTGGTGGCCATGACAGCGGTCTGCTGTAACTTTGAAGGAGACAAGCGCGAACAGTAAGGGCAAAATGAGGCAGTGCCCCATCCAGTCGGAAATACTCAGCTCGCCTGATTTGTCAGTGTATTTTATCAATGGCAAACTCTTGCAGAATTTGTAAGTAAACATTTGCAGTCACCGTTAAGAAATATGGGCCAATGACAAAGACAGGTGATGCGTCCCTTCGAAGCTCCGTAAATTAACAGATTCCAAGCCTAACTGAAAAGAAAAGTAAATTATATATATATGCATGTTTCATTAAAAACGACAGACAAGGTACTACGGTTAAGTTTTTTATTTAATTTTTCTTCTGTTCTGACAAGAGCTTTCTTTTCTGGACAAAGGGTGTGTAAGAACTGTCCGAATGTTTTATATTTCCGAGCGCTTTCGGCTATACCTTTAGCCATTATCAAGGATGATTTGATTTTTCAGCTTAATTGAGTGTGTGCGTTCTGTGTATGTATCAGTGTGTGGTAGGGATGTTTTTAATTTCCGAATACGGTTAGCACATTGTGGCCTTGTTCGTAGTTAATATTATTAAGAGTTGTTTTTTTTTCTTTTTTATCATTAAAGCTTCCATTATTTTTAGTCTTTTTTGCAGGTGGATGCAGTTAATATATTTGTGTTTTCTACGAGTATGTTTCTAATGGAATCGGGAAAATCTGTGTGTGTGTGTGTGTGTGTTTAAATGGGTTCTAATGGAGCTGTGATCAGATAGGTGTAACGTAAGACGTCTGGATAAGCATGTTGTGTAGCCGATGTAATTATTTATGAGTCCGGTTTGGTGAGGAACACAGTTCCTTAACGGGCATTTGGACTCATAGATAATGTTCGTTCTTTGTAATTTTGACTTGTTATTTTTGAGGATAAGGTTGGCGGTCTTAAAATTATAAAAAATTTAAGACCGCCAACCTTATCCTCAGATAATAAGTTTGATTTTTTTATTCGGATCAATTGGAGTAGTATATTTCTTGTCAGAACACAAGAAAAATTAAATAAAAAGCTTAACCGTTGTATCTTGTCTGTCGTTTTTAATGAAACATGCATAAAGGAAGGATTGCTGCCTAAGTATACAACTATATATATATATATATATATATATATATATATAAAGTTTCAAATTAAGAAATAATAATGTTTTATTTTATGAAAGTATTTATTTATTTATATATATATTTGATATTTCAAATTGTCCTCAATCTTTCATCAGAAATAACTGTTTGTTACAAATAGATTAAACTTACTGTTTGTTAGCAAGTAGCGTCCTTCGCGAGACGCGGACGTCACGTGATATGGAACGTCACTGTTCGGATATTCCTAACTTAAATCTAACTGTCATAAATATTTCAGATGTTTAAAAAAAAATTTAACTATATCTAAAAAAAATTGCTTAACTATTGAAATATTTATAAAGATTTAAAATACTTAAGTCTTTATTTAACCCTAGTTTATGTGTATTTAATTTTAAAATCCAATATGTTTCTTTTTTCTGCGTGTGTATGTGGAACTAAAATCAGAATCTATCAATAAACATTTACAGTTTTCTAATGAGTGTCCTGATTGATTGTAGTGTTTAGCTATGGGGGAATAAGGATTGTTTTGACGTATGATTTGTTTATGATTATTGAAGCGAAATCTAAAATTATTTCCAGACTCACCAATATATCCACTATTAGGACATAAATTGCAGAATAAACAATAGATTACGTTATGGCTATCGCAGGTGAGGTTAGGTGGCTGTATCCTGATATTGGTGTTGGGTACGGAAAATGTATTAGCTATTATTAAATGTTTGCAAACTAAGCAACGAGGTTTGTTACATTTGTAATTTCCTGTTTGGTTTCTATTGTTTAGATATTTGGTAGAGGTGAGGATAGCTGATAGGTTAGGTGATTGTTTCTTTGCATATATATATATATATATATATATATATATATATATATATATATATATATGTATGAAGAAATATAGTTTTAAGGTGTGCTATATTTATGGGATAAATTGCTCAGTATCAGAGATAGAGCGTATGTAAATATAAAAAGAACACTGAAGTCAACACTCGGAGGCGACAGATATATATATATATATATATATATATATATATATATAGATAGATAGATAGATAGATATATATAGGTGCGATAGATAAATTGTCGTCTAAATTACACAAAAATGAAAATATACCTGGCATTTCATTTTAACAGATTTATTTATCAAAATTACCCCAAAATATCTTGAAATATTAAAGAGTACATTTATGAAATAAATTCGTCATTGGCTTCAACCAAACAACTTCGGAATCTCCTTTAACGGTCTCCTTGATTAAGTTGGTGAATGCTTCCAAAATCCTTGTCTTCAGTTCATCTTTGGTGTTTTGTTGGTCTCTCGCTCAGCTGCACCCCACACATAATAATCAAGGGGGTTGCAGTCTAGGGGAGTTAGATGACCTGATGTAAGAAGAGTGATGTCTGGGTTCTCCTACTTGTGTGGTATGGTGCAGAGTCCTGTTGTCAGACATAGGGTCTTCCAGCAGCCACCCTCTTGACCCAGAGTAGAAAGAAATTTATTTATTGAGAAAAAGGTTTAAACAACGTAACTATAAACAATTTTTTCTAACCTCTGTCAGCCGTAATGACGGAGAAAGCATTACCTCGAACCATCGCCAGTGAGACACACTGCAAGAGCCACTCCGTTTCGCGAGTCTCGTCCCTTAATCGAGATGCAATTGCGCCAATCCTCGGAAGGAACGCCATCGAACGAGGGCCAATAACCCCTGAAGCCTCCACTGCCACAGGAGTAAAAAAAAAATCAATCAGCAAGAGAAGAATACTTAACTATTTTGTTCATCTCGGGCGACGGATCCTGGCTCAACTGCGGAACTGATCAAATTACCGGGAGAAAATGTACACGTACAGGTCGCATCCCAAATCAATGACTTCCCCATTTTAAAAGGGAAAATGGTAATGCCACCCGGCCGCTTTCCATCACCACGGTCAAGGCCTACAGGTTAGATTTGGAAAGGGAACTCAGCTGCATCCAGAGCTCTTATGATGACGATGTTTATTGCTGCATGCCTTGGAAAGCAGCCGGCACTACGACGACTGGAGCGAAGATCCGGCCGCTTTCCATCACCACGGTCAAGGCCTACTGGTTAGATTTGGAAAGGGAACTCAGCTGCATCCAGAGCTCTTCTGATGATGTCGTTTATTGCCGCGTGGAAAGCGGCCGGCGCTACGACGACAGGAGAGAGGATGCAGACCAAACTCATCGATGGAAGCTCCACATCTTCATCTGTGACGCTCACATAATTTGAGTCCAAGACGGATCACGACTCCGACTCGAGTGCACTCATCATCTAGAAGGGTACCGGTAAATGAAGCGGGTACTGCGTTGAGCCAGGCGCCACTACTTGGTTGTGAAGCAGATAGTAGACAGGCGAGGCGATGCTGATCCACAGAGAGCCTCAAATTAGTAAATAAATAGAAATTGTGGCTGTTTCCTTCCTTTTTTTTATGGAAGAGAGGTGAACCAGAAGTTATCCGGGATTGGACAATAAATTGTCAAGAAGCGTAGTATTGTCCGCACTTGGGAAGATGGGAAAACTTTTAGCTGATGGAAGGTACACAAGTCGATATCCGATCGGCTGGGTCACCATTGAGAGGGGTATGATGTTGAAAGACTCGACTGATGATGTGTACTAAAGCATCCAACAGATGTATTTTACGATATGGATCGTATATACTAATTGTACTTGGGGTCTGGATTGAGTAAGTTCAAATAGGTAGAGAGATAAACACTATTTTTTTCTCCATCGTACGTATCTCAGTACGTTTTTCTCTACGAATGTAAACCATCTCATTATCTTCACTCTCTTTGTCTTTTCTCTCTTTCTCGAACTCCCCCTCCCCTTTTAGTCTTCTATAACTCTTTAACTCTCCCCCTCTCTTTTCCATCTCTCGAGCTGCCTCTCTCATTTTACATTATGTTCCCTCTTTATCTCTTTGCATCTTTCTTTCGTTCTCTCACAGATTTACATCTCCTCTCTCTTTCTTCAATCTCCCACTTATTTTTCTCTCTTTCAACTCTCTCCCTACTCTTCTCCCTTATTTCTCTAGTCTTACCCCCCCCAACAAGTTTTTTTTTTTTATCCCGCCAAAATTTCCCCAACTGTAACCCATTCATACCATATAGCCAATGAGGTGTCCAAACGCCAATAACATTCACCGGTCCGGATCGCTGACTCTTCCGACGCCTACTCTCCACCAGTTACCATTAAAGCAAACGTACATCTGCATTTTCCTAGCAACAGGAGAACAACACTGGCTTCATCATCCAACCGGCGTGTAACGCCATCCATCTTTAGTTATTATTCACCGCCATTCTCGCAGCCCATTCCTTCCTAATCCCGGCTGCATAGGTTGCAGCCGGGGAGAGAGTCTTAGCGCCATTAACATTAGACGTTCTTATTGCGCGTCGAAGAGGAGCTGAACGGCAACGATTAGTGTTATTTCCATATGCAGCCAAACTCATTCGTCATTCTAGAGAAATTTCTAGTTCATCTGTCGATAGTTTCAGCTGTCAACTGACCGTCAGTTGGGCGCTGTTGTTCGCGCCTTGGACCGGCTTAAGATATAACGAAATTGTTGAGCCGAGAATGTTCTTTCTTTCTTTCTTTCTTTCTTTCTTTCTTTCTATTCAGACGTCTTTTTTTCTTTCTTTCTATCTTTCTTTCTTTCTTTCTTTCTATTCAGACGACTTTCTTTCTTTCTTTCTTTCTTTCTTTCTTTCTTTCTTTCTTTCTTTCTTTCTATTCAGACGTCTCACTTTCTTTCTTTCTTTCTTTCTTTCTTTCTTTCTTTCTTTCTTTCTTTCTATTCAGGCGACTTTCTTTCTTTTTATCTTTCTTTCTTTCTTTCTTTCTTTCTTTCTTTCTTTCTTTCTTTCTATTCAGACCTCTTTCTTTCTTTCTTTCTTTCTTTTGTTCACCCATTCTTTCTTTCTTTCTTTCTGTCTTTCTTTCTTTCTGTTCAGACGTTTTTCTTTCTTTCTTTCTTTCTTTCTTTCTTTCTTTCTTTCTTTCTTTCTTTCTTTCTTTCTGTTCAGACGTCTTTCTTTCTTTCTTTCTTTCTTTCTATTCAGACGTCTTTCTTTCTTTCTTTCTTTCTTTCTTTCTTTCTTTCTTTCTTTCTTTCTATTCAGACATCTTACTTTCTTTCTTTCTATTCAGACGTCTTTCGTTCTTTCTTTCTTTCTTTCTTTCTTTCTTTCTTTCTTTCTTCTTCATCTTCTTCTTCTTCTTCTTCAAAATCTCAAATGAAATGACAACTTTTCAAATAGCCAGACATCTTTTCTAAAAATCTATCTATCTATCTATCTATCTATCTATCTATCTATCTATCTATCTATCTATCTATCCTTATTATTTCCTCTCTATAAATTCTTCTGCCCCTTTTAAATTCTTCTTCTTTTTATCCTTTTCGTCTTCACTTTCATTTTTCGTACCATGACTTTCTTCTTCTTCATTGAAATCTCAAATAAAATGGCAACCACCTACTTTTCAAATAGCCACACATGATTTTTAAAAATCTCTCGATTATACCAGCTGAGAAATAATTTTCTATTCATAACCAGTTTAAGAAAGAAAGCAAAAAGCATTTTGCTTCGTTCTTTCTTTCTTTCTTTCTTTAGCCAAATCGCTATTCTTCTCCAACTTCCATTCCTTCTTCAACATCTCCCCCCACCCGATTTAGAAATTGCTACCCCCCACCCAAACACCATTCAAAATACCCAATGCTATTTACGGCTGTTCTATATTTTCATTGCGTTATCTTATTTTAAGCTAATGCTTTCTTTTTAGTTCGTTTGTTTTCCACCATGTCAGAACCAAATCATTGCAGTTACCGGTCGGCTCTTGAGAGAAGTGAGTGATGATGGCAAGCCGACACGTCTATTCGATGTGTGTCGGCTTTGCGAGGATCAATACTGGGAAGGAATCTTTGCAAAAGAAAAAGGGAAATTCTCAGTTCCAAACCAAAGAATGTTTCTTGGACTGACAACGTAATGGAATGTAATTAGAAGTTACCCAAAGGACAAATGATTTTTTTTGCATAATTCTGAGAATTGCGCCAATAAGATTGCTATTCAGGCAAGTAAACATATAATAATAATAATAATAATAATAATAAAAAAAAAAAAGAGAATAACTGCTATAAGCACTTTAGTTAGATGTCTTTCCATCTTATTTTTTCTTTCAGACGTCTTTGGTTCTTTCTGTTTTTCATTCGTTCTTGCTTTCTCTCAATCAGTCAGCCAGACGTATTTCTTTCTTTCATTCATTCATTCATTCATTTAATCAGTCAGATATCTTTCTTTCTTTTTTCTTTCTTTCTTTCTTTCTTTCTTTCTTTCTTTCTTTCTTTTAGTCTGTCAGACGTTTTTCTTTCATTCATTCATCATTGCTTCCTTCCTTGTTTTCTTTCATTTTTCTTTCTTTCTTTCAGTCAGTCAGTCAGTAATCTGATGTTTTCTTTCTTTCTTTCTTTCTTTCTTTCTTTCTTTCTTTCTTTTAGTCTGTCAGACGTTTTTCTTTCATTCATTCATCATTGCTTCCTTCCTTCCTTCCTTGTTTTCTTTCATTTTTCTTCCTTTAAGTCAGTCAGTCAGTAATCTGATGTTTTCTTTCTTTCTTTCTTTCTTTCTTTCTTTCTTTCTTTCTTTCTTTCTTTCTTTCTTTTAGTCTGTCAGACGTTTTTCTTTCATTCATTCATTATTGCTTCCTTCCTTTCTTGTTTTCATTCATTTTTCTTACATTCGGTCAGTCAGTCAGTAATCTGATGTTTTCTTTCTTTCTTTCTTTCTTTCTTTCTTTCTTTCTTTCTTTCTTTCTTTCTTTTAGTCTGTCAGACGTTTTTCTTTCATTCATTCATCATTGCTTCCTTCCTTCCTTCCTTGTTTTCTTTCATTTTTCTTTCTTTAAGTCAGTCAGTCAGTAATCTGATGTTTTCTTTCTTTCTTTCTTTCTTTCTTTCTTTCTTTCTTTCTTTCTCCAAACCGCTTTAGTTTCTCATCTTCCATCGCTTTTCGAAAATCTCCCACTGGATTTAGAAATGTTTTTTTTTTATCATAATACTGATAATTCCGTCAATAATTGCGGTACAACTAATAATAATAATATACCAAAATATCAGCGATAAACACTTTAACTGTCTCTGTGGTGCTATGCAATTTCGGCATCCTTAATTGCAGCATATCTGATATTAAGCAAATGGATGTCAAAACTGTAAACGTCTCACTTGTCACTCCATGCATAATCCTAAAGTCAATGTTAATAGTCTTTAGATCCGAAGGAGGTAGAGGATTAGTTCAACTAGAACTGTCTTGCAAAACCACAACAATCGGTCTTCAAAGCTACCTGGAAAAATACAGAAGACTGGATGATTATCTATGTTAAAAAACACGAAAGAAATAAGAATCTTTATTCAATAATAAATAAAGCCGACAAATTCAAAAGAGAATTTCAAGTAGGCGAAGAAGTGCCAATAAGCTATAATACGGTGTCAAAGAACCTAAAAAAAGAATGCAAAATTTAAATGCAATGTTCCAAATGCAGAAACAATGGCAAAATAATCCTCTTCATGGTCAATACTCGGTCCGTACCAAACAAGCTGATTTAGACAAACACCGTACCCATCAGTGGCTACATAGAGTTAAAATCTTAAAGTAAAGTTTTATTCTTGCTGCACAGGACCAGATTGCACGGTATTAACACTCAATGAATATAAAACTCGGTACGATAGAGTCGGCCAATATCTGGAAAATATGTAACTTTTCGGGAAGAAAACTACAAAAAAAAAAATGTTATGAAACCATCCAGAATCAGTTACAAACCTAGGATCTGTAACAATTTCATGGGACACTGTTTCCATTATTCGGACCATTGTCCTCATCTTTGTCCCCATATTTATTACAAAGTTTCGGCCGTTGTACGCTCCGGCCTTCTTCAGGTGGTTGGAATGTCGAACTGAACCCTTTATTTCACTCACTGGGGTAGACTGTTCTAGTTCCACGTGCCATGTCTAATGGATGTCAGTTATCAGTTATCTTCTGTTAATTCCCCTCACCAAGTTTTCCACCGTCTTAACCAATACAGACTTCCGGACAGTTTGACAGCTGGGGTCAGATGTAAGCCATAATAGGAAAGTCGATTTTAATTGAACTAGCGTGAGAAAGTGATAGCAGAAAGGTTTCCTAGTGAGGGGGCACTCCCACTGGATATTTAGATAATATACCTGTCGACATGAGTAATAAAAATAGCTAAGAGAGAAGACTAGATGAGACCCCTCACCTTTCTATGCAATACACAGAGACAGAAAAATCAAAGCTAATCGCCCAGATATCGTGATGAAAGAACACAAGAACAGAAAGTGCCTTCTTAATGATAGGACAATTTCTGCAGATTGTCATGTATCTTTGAAGGTCTTTAAAAAGCTATCAAAATACAAGAATCTCTAAGAGGAAATCTAAAAATATGTGGAACATGACGAGGTCGGTAATTCCAGTTGTAGCTGGAGTCCTCGGATTGATTAAGAAAGGTTTTGAAAGACACATTGAAGTGTTCCCTGGTTGTCCATGCCTTAAAAGAACACAATAAATTGTTCTCACAAGTACAGCACAAACCTTACGAAGGGATTTATCTATGTAAAATATGTGTGATCTTAGTTCTTTAAAAATAATGTTCATTGAAAAAGTCATGAAGCCATTTCTGACCTTAGGTCTCTGGTTGGGACCCGGAATGAGTATACAACAGAAATTAATAATAATAATAAAGTATGGATAAGGGAAACAATATCATTCTTTCACGGATATGAGAACCAATACCCTCCTTTTACGGACATGGGAAACAACATCCTTCTTTTATGGATATGGGAAACAATATCCATCTTTTATGGACATGGGAAACGGTACCCTTCTTTTACGGACATGGGAGACAATACCCTTCGTTTATGGACATGGGAAACAATATCCTTCTTTTACGGACATGGGAAGCAATACCCTCGTTTTACGGACATGGAAAACAATATCCATCTTTTACGGACATGGGAAACAATACTCTCCTTTTACGGACATGGGAAACAATATCTTCTTTTACAGACATGGGAAACAATACCCTTCTTTTACGGACATGGGAAACAACACCCTCCTTTTACGGACATTGGAAACAATACCCACCTTTTACGAACATGTGAAACACTATCATTCTTTTACAGACATGGGAAACAATACCCTTCTTTTACGGACATGGGGAACAATACCCTTCTTTTACGGACATGGGAAGCAACACCCTTCTTTTATGGCCATTGAAAACAATACCATTCTTTTACGGACATGGGAAACAAAAGTTGTAGTATAGCTGCAAATGTAATGATTTTATCCCATCCTGATTTTTTAGGTCCTTAATCCCTTTCCCGCCAATTATTTCGGGAAAAAATCTTTTCATTTTCAGACGAATTTCTTTTTGTTTTTATTATAGTAACTAAGAAACTGAGGTACCTTGAAGTACACGAGCGGTGGCTAACACCTCTACCAGACGTAGCAGTTAACAATTGGACTCGTTTCAGGCTCAGAAGTAGTAGCAACCACCATGGAAATTTCACGGTTTTCCTATTTGAATTCCCGGGTAAAATTTAAATCGTAACAAAATGCTTGAATACAGTGATCCCCCGCCTATTCGCGTTTCAGCATTCGCCGCTTCACACATACGCGGATTTTTCTTTAGAACATTTGTACTTGTTATTCGCGGAAACCCCGAATATTCGCGTGTTTTTTTCTGAAGAACATATGTACAAATTATTCGCAGAGAACTCTCTCGATTCGCGTATTTTTCGATAGAACATATTTAAAATATTCTTGTATTATTTTCCTGTTATTTAAGTGACTTAAAATATTTAAAAGTCCATTTTTATGGTAAAAATTGGCAGAATTGTACATCTTCATTGTAAAAAACAAACACAAAAACATAAGTAGTGCTTGGGCTTTGTTCTTTGTTAGGGGCTGCAGCTGGGGTCTTAAAAGTGGTTTATGCTAAGTCTGGGAGCATCATCACAGTTCTGTTTCCAAAAAATGTTTTAAACTTCATATTTTATGTCTTGTTACACATATTTTATACAGTATTTTCAATGTTTGTATCGATCTATGAGTAATTAAAAATGGTTATTGTACGTATGAAAGGAAATTTATATTAAGTGTATAGTCACCAATACTATTTTTCAAGAATGTTTTAAAAAGTGTCTGAAATGTTTCTAAAGTGTTTAGGATGAAAGTTTAAGGCATATGGGGTTTTAACAATCAAAAGAGGTACTTATAAGGGGGAGTTACAAGTATTCTCGAATATTGGGGACTCACCGTAAACTCCTTGTGAATTTAAAATATGATTTTAAATTTTAAAATAAACGCGAAGAGCCCTTCTTGCAGCGTTAAATATTTGATATTAACTTTAACAAAATATTGCATAAAAAATCATAAGTATGAATGATTGTCATTATTTAAAGAAGTAAAAGTGTACAAATGAAAAGATTTAAAATGGACAAGTTTTTACATTTCACTGAAGCAGACGTTAAATACTTTAGACCATTATCGCCGCATCTATCTTCTTTTATTTATTTCTTTATCAATTATCTATCTTCTCTCAATTTCCTTCTTCCTTTTTTCTTTCACTGAAACCAAATAGTATCTATGATATGTCTTTTTCGTATTTCCTCGCAATCAAAACAGAATTGTCCATTATTTTATTGCAAAATATATATATATATATATATATATATATATATATATAATTACTAGCAGTAGAGCCCGGCGTTGCCCGGGGATGTAACAATAAGAGATAGATCAAGTATCGACCATCATAAAAACTGAAAAATAAAATTGACAAAGGTTATTGTTTAAGGTTGACGGACACGCATGTCTTAATTAGTTTTTTTTTTTTTTTACGAATTGGTCAAACCCAAACTCAAACAAAAACATTGTTTTTAATCGTTATGAGTCTACCGATTGAATAGAATTTTATTATAAACAATTGTCTTGTAAATGGAATTGTGTGCAAGACAATAAGAAACGTCTGACGTTGATATTATATTAACATTATAACAGCATAATTGCATATTAGGATTTTTGTTTGTTTTACCGTATATTTTTCTTATATATATATATATATATATATATATATATATATATATATATATATATGCATGTTTCATTAAAAACGACAGACAAGGTACTACGGTTAAGCTTTTTATTTAATTTTTCTAGTGTTCGAACAAGAGCTTCCTTTTTGTGGGCAAAGGGTGTATAAATGTTGGATGTCATTTTTACGAGGTTTTTTCTGAATGTAGTGGAGTTATTTTTCTTTGTAGGGTGCCGGGTCGTGTAGTTTGATAGTTTTAAAGCTCTTTTGCAAATTTCCCCTGGGTGTTTGGTTGATTTGAACCTTTTAAAACTCTTTATTCTACATTCAACACCATCACTTGATAAGACACCTGAAGTTTTGAAACAAAATGGCTATGTTTGTACTGATTTTATAACATACTAGCAGTAGAACCCGGCGTTGCCCGGGGATGTAACAGTAAAAGATAGATCAAGTATCGACCATCATAAAGACTGAAAAATAAAATTGACAAAGATTATTGTTTAAGGTTGACGGACACGCATGTCTTAATTAGTTTTTTTTTTTTTACGAATTGGTCAAACCCAAACTGAAACAAAAACATTGTTTTCAATCGTTATGACTATGAGTCTATCGATTGAGTAGAATTTTATTATAAACAATTGTCTTGTAAATGGAATTTTTAAAGCATTCTGAATGTAAAAATAAAGAAAAAAGTGTGCAAGACAATAAGAAACACTACCTGCCAAAAAAAGTGAAGTTTTGTTGAAATCGGTTGAAAAATGTAGGAAATCCGATTCCATATATAAACGAATACACACACACACACACACA